TCTGTTTCTTTGGAATTTATAAGAAATAGACCCTTAAGTAACGTTTTCTCACAGAATGTATGAATTAAACGGGTTATTTATGTTTCCTGTGGGAATGCCTGTATGTGAAATCGACATATAATATATCTATAATTTAATATCCATTAAGTATAAATATATAAAACTATTCAAATCGTGCTTAAAAATACTTTGCATTGTAAGTATATTTCTTATTTCTATAAACAAATACAAACTTTGAAAGGAATTCTTTTCGTAACTGGATAAATACCACCGATCATGATACTCAACGTCACTTTCCCAAATCTCTTCATGAAATTTAAGATCTACAAATAAAAGTAAACAATGAAAAATTATCTAATTAATCAAATTATATATAATCATTTAAAATAATTTATTAATAGACGTAAATACAGACTTTTAACTTTTCTTCCAGATGTAAATTGCTGACAGCAAATTGGCGGACATCTTGAAAGCCATTTTGCATCTGAAAAATAAAATTTAACATTAAAAATATTATTCAAACATTTACATTAATGTCTTATAAAATAAATTTATAGAAACAAATTCTTTACCGAGAAAGCAAAACTACACAACAAACAAGCTCCAATAATACAAGTGAAGGTAGATATAACAGCTATTACCATAAATGCTAATCTAATTGCCTCATTTACATCTATAAAGAACAATGCATAATAAGAAAAACTGGTTGCACATATAAGACCGAGATAGAGAACAAAACTAGGATAACTAAATTTAGTATTAAGTTGACTGACGAAATTATACAATTCTTCGTGACGAAGCATCAAATTTCTCAGATTGAAATAGAAATTTCTCTCACTTCTTCTCACAAGGGAAAAGTCTTGTATTAATTGTTTGAATTCCATTTCGGTAAGAACTAATAACACTGCTAACAATAAGTAAGAATAAGCTATGGCTCCAAGTCCTACAGAAATTGCAAATCCAACTTCGACCGAACAGATCAGAGCTTCTCCCCAAAACTTTTCGTTTTTCTTTATTGCTGGGTACATAAAGTATATATTCAAAATCTGAAAGCCAAATACTACGAAAATAATACATAAAAATACGAGCAGACAAACAACATTAATTAAACTATTTGCTACCTTTCCCTTCTTCACAAGATCTTCGTTTATTAGTCTTTTTATTAAAGTAACTTTTCTGTTTTTGAAGAAACTGAATGTAAAAGCAAAGCAGCATTGTAAACACACTACTGTTACTTTCAACGGAAGAGTATTGTTTTTAATTAAATCGTACCATCCAGTGCAAATCGCATTTTTATTCCAACCCGGTATAATCTGCCAATAGAATAGAACTGCATTACTCCAGTAAATCAACTCGAGAAATTCAGTATATTTCTTCATATATTTTCTTTTAATAAGTGTTAAAAATCTGTTGTTTCGGCAGTTGCACGGTTCGAAAGGATCCACACCATAGATCATCGCATTTACCCAAATTGGTGTTAAGAAGCAATGCATACAGATTTCGTTAATTGCGAACGAATACATCATTGATTCGCTTTACGAATTTTAAGTGCAACGAGAATAAGTAAAATCTATGTCTATCCTTAACACGAGAAACTCTGTTTTACTTTGTTGCTTATGCAATCTGTATTAACGTCATTAAATTAAATGCAGTTAAATTCCTGTTTGCACTGAGAAAATTCCTTACTTATTAATGCAAGGAATTTTTTGAATGTAAACACAATTTAATTACATCGATTATTTTACTGAAATAATCAATAGACTCGATAGTAATATATNATAATTAATTTACATTTAATTTTATGTTTAAATGGTTTAAACTAATCATTTTAAATAAAGATTAATTCAATTCAATTGTTTCTCGTAGTTTGTGTGTTGAATATTTTTTTTCGTTAAGAATTCGATAAGTACGAGTAAATTAGAAATAATTATGTCGTATTTGTAATGGTTGAATATGTAGGAAAAAAAAAACAAGGATAAAGTATACAAGAATACGTTATTAAAAATGGCAGACGGTAATTTAGACAGTAAAAGAATTTTGAAGAATACGAATTATATTTTGTCTTCCTTCTCTGTCTTTTCAGTCCTTATTGACAATTAAAAAATACATAAAACTTCACTTACATATACGAATTTTTATTGAATTCTTCCCCTGTGTAAAAAAGAAATGTATATTAGTTTAAAACACGTGTTATGGCGACGTGTTATACCATAAATGAAAACAAATAGTTTATTAAGAAATGAAATTATGAAAGAAAATTAATCTTTCATTCATTTATGTAAAATTAATGTGAAATTATTATTTAGTATAAATATCTTAAACGTGATACAAATTAAACTATATGTAATACATAAACAAAATAAAACTAAATAAAACTACTCTTTCTTATCCGACTTCGAGTGATTTATTTTATCAGACAAATAACATAGAAATACTAAACTTTAACTTTAATTGCCAATAATTTCGTGTTCATAAAATCCAGTTCGGATAAACTTTAGCAATGCTCGATAGGGGTGTTGTACAGGGGTAGCTCGTGTAGAACTACCCCTGTACAACACCCCTATCGAGTGGGAGAGAAGTCCCCCACCCGAGTGTCAAGCAGGTAGCAACCATTCACAAAAATAGCCATCAGCGCCCGGTCAGGCAACTGGGCTGGGCCAATGAGCTTACAATAAAGCCTCATTAGTGGACGTAATGAACTTTAACAAATTCTGTTCCTTTTATGCTGTGTGATTTTTTCCTGGCATTCATCCCGGTATTTCAGATTTATTATATTTGAATATGCTATGAAACAAATATATTTTATTATTCTTCTTTTATATAATTAATAATTGTTAATAATTGTTTTCCCTCTTGTACTAAATTGCCTGAGGTCAATATAATAGACTACATGGGGTGTGAAAAATTCAAATTTGCCTGGGCACCCGTGAAGCTTGTTTCTTTGTATCATTAAGTTATGGTAACGCAACACCTGGGCGATCTGTCTATGGGGATGTCTTCCGGAAGGTTTTTTAAGAGCAACTGGAACCTATTCAGGCTTTAAAACCATAGAGAATAGCCGGAAAACTTCACAAGAAAGCCCGTTAGTGAGGCGCTAACACACTACCATCAGAAGTGAAGCTCATTAGGGACTAATATGGCTTGCACCCTGGACCTCTAAGTGTCAACAGCCCACAAAAATTGAATTATTACCATAAATTTTTAATACTTTTCTATTAACAATGAACACATATTAATATTAACTAACTACCGGTGGGAGAATCAGGAAAGAAACATTAATAATAAAATATCGTAACAGATGGCGTTACACGTGCAGTTTTAGATGATGCCGAGAAAGTTAAACAACTCGTATGCTTTTGTTTAAATTGGGGGTGTTTAAAATTACTGCATTTTTGATATAATACAGATTCGTGACCTTTGATCGATTACTGCATCCTTTATATAATTGTGAAAGATAAAATTTTATATTTTTAGCTAAGAAGTATCATATCATCTGCTGATAATATTTATGTGTTATGTAATTATTTAACTTATCAACTGTTTACGAAGACATCAAATTTTGTATGCTCGATATACGAGAAGTTTGTTTGTAAGGCTTGTACTGACGTAACAATAAACTGTACTAATTCCAGCTTAATTAACGTGCAATTTAATTGTTATGTCGACTTGAATAAGGGCTTCTTCTTTGCTCAGCATTAGCTGGAATGACGACAGTTTGTTCGTGTGTTCAGTTCAATACAAGCCTTATACATATTCCAGTATATCAATACAAGTTAAAATACTATTTAGGTGGTACTAACGTGGAAACCCGGAAGACTCCACTTTGATGGGGCACGAACCCACGACCACTGTTTAGTGTTTTTATTCATTTGGCAACTGCCGGGCGCAATATTTTATTTAGAATGACACTGGTAATTTTCAAAAGGGTCGTATTTAGACTTGTACCTCTAAGCTATGAGATACAGGGAACCAATCCCTTTACGTAAGAACGTAAAAAGACCTTTGTAGCGTGAGATCCTAGTGGTTTTTTACAGGGGTGCCGCAACGGCACTTCAAGGATGACGCTAAATACAATTCCAAGTAGCGCCATAATATCTCTTACGTGTACTACTAAAAGTACTAAAGCGCTAAGTAGGGGGTACCTCAACAAACTAGATTACTAATTTGGAGTACTAAAATTAAACAAGGATTGAAAAACACTATCCTAAGCTGTAATTTATCTCAATATTACATTGATTCCATGCATAATTATTAAAGGAGGTAATTGGAAACGATATTGTTATTATCAAATTACTTGACCTACAAATTCTCAAACCGAAACTTGCAAGACCAAGTCTCTATGCAGTATATAGGCCTATTTTTAATTGTTAGAATTACCTTAGTTTAGCATCACACCCGATTTAGCGCCAACGTCAGAGGCGAATTAATTGATAACTTTTCTAATAATTTACTGTTTATTTGTAGTGAATATAGTGGCATTTCTTTTTCCTTCTTTACGACACTTTTATAATTTAAATATAACTAAAACTAAATGATTGAGGCATGATTTAAAAACGGGATCGAAAACAGCATTTACTCAATACAATATAAATTCTGTCGATTAGAAATTATTTTCAAGGTAAATTTTTTTCTCGTCTGCTTGAAATTTAATGATATTTTCTGACTGATATTTTATGAGAATTTTTCCTTCTGGAGACGATAAATTAGTCAAGGACACGTTTCATAAGATAATACATGACATATATTCCGCGTTAACTGCTGTAAATTTACATTTCTCTCCACTTACGGCAGGTAGGAAATCATTTCAAATTTTCCCAATATCTGTAAATACTTAAAAATTTCGTTTACTTTCAGACATAAAAGAATGGCTCGTTTGCTGGTTGCAGCATCTTTCTTGGTGGTAGCTTCATTTGTTCTCGGGAAAGAAGACGGAATAGAATCACTAAAATATGTCAATAACGTAAACTTTGGACATAAATTATTCAGGAACATCAGTAGATACGAGAAGAATTTCTTCTTTTCTCCTCTCAGCGTATCCAGTTTAATGAGCCAAATCTATATGGGAGCTAAAGGAGAAACTCGTGAAGAGATGGGAAGTCTCGGCCATATTTTCTTGGATCTGTTTGATATTAACGTACACGAAACGTATCACAAGTTATTCAGACAATTAGAGAGGAGAACAACGGATTATCAATTGGAGATCGCAAACGGTCTCTTAACGCAGGTAGATTTCGAAATTTTGGACGAATACAGAAATTCATTACAGCGTTACTACGATACTTTAGTCGAAGAAGTCGACTTCGTACAGGATAACGATAGAGTTGTACAGCAGCTTAATTCGTGGGTAAGAGAGAAAACTCACGGAAAAATCGCCTCACTCGTAGATCATTTAGATTCAAGCACTCGACTTGTACTACTCAATGCCATATACTTCAAGGGAACGTGGAAAACGCAATTCGACCCCGAACTCACCCAGGACAGGCCATTTTATAATAACGGAGGTGAAAACTCTGTGTCAGCTCCTACTATGAGGATAAATACCAAATTTCCTTTCTTCGATGACTACGATAGAAAAGTTAAAGCCTTACTGTTACCGTATAAAGGTGATGATATTAGTATGTTAGTTGTTTTACCCTACGAAAGAAACGGTTTGGAAAGGATGAAGAAGGAACTGGTAAATGATGACTTAACTTCATTCCTCGACAACTTAGATACGACTAAAGTTATTGTTTCTCTTCCGAAATTTAAGTTTGAAAGCTCTAGAGAATTGAAAGAGGATTTCAAAAAGGCTGGAATCGTTAAACTGTTTGATAGTCGGGCCGATTTATCAGGTATCACCGGAGATAAGAGCCTCTACGTTTCTGAAATCATCCACAAAGCGAAAATAGAAATTAACGAAGAAGGAAGCGAAGCAGCTGCAATTACAGGAGGCATTATCTCTGATAGAATGTTACCTCTGCCTTCGATTATCAACGAATTTAACGCAGATCATCCTTTCCTGTATTACATCGTACATAATCCAACAAAGGTTATCATTTTTATGGGTAGTGTTGACGAATTGTAAACAGTTTGTTAAACTAAAAAATATTACCTTTTTCCAAGTAATAAAAGAATTTAGAATTTAAATTTAATTTTTAGATAGTTCACATATAATCCAACGGTTACGTGTAAATAACCAGTAAAAATTTTCATTAAGTTCGACCCTACTCGAGATAAGACAAATGATCCTTTTTATTTCCTCATACCGTTGAGTTTCGTATTCTAAAATTTAACAGCTCAAATGCCATTTATATAAGTTAATATGCGAAATTTGGTATATTAATCTTTACCCCGTCCTGAGATATTAAACGATGTAGATGTCAACACAAACACACACGCACACGCCCTAATTTTGAAATGACCCCACCTTATTTTATAATTTATAAAACTTAAATTTATTCAAAAAAATTTTCAATAAACAATTATTTAAGATGCAGTCCTTTTACCATTAATGGTAATGGTTGGTTGCATATAGTGTCTTTTGCCTTGGGAACAAAGGTAGTGTGATGAATACAAGGTCTTTGTCAGCATGCGGATTTCGACATTTAAAGTAACTTATATATATTTTTCGTTAAGTAGTTTTGATTTTAAATGTAAATAGGTATTTACTTTAACAGTAAAATAAATTAGTGTAATGAGGAGTAATGTTAGAGTCATAACCTACGGCCTTAATTTATGTATTTCATCTCCCATATCTCCAGTCGAAACTAAACCTATTAAAATTATATTTTCAAATAAAACAGTGCTTTGCAATTTCTGTATTTAAGTCTGTAAAATTAAAGTAAAGAAAGTACGATAATTTTAATTACCAAACACTTTTCAAACCATTTTAAAAACCCGAGTATGAGCATTGTTACACGAAATATAATAGTAAGATGAGGGTGCACCTAGTAGGGTGGGCAGCAGTATATGCTGTATATATAAAACTAAATACCCGGTAGCCCCATCTTGTAAATACCTGCACCAATGATACACACGAAATATTTTTTTTAGTGCCTAATTTATAACTAATTCGTTTACTGGTCATTGAAACTTTTAAAACATATAAATAGCTTTCACGGTGGTAACTTAATGATACGTGTAGGGATCAGGTACCCACAATGGGCATAGTAATAGCCGGTTATACAGTGTCAGCCGCCGGGGAGGTTGGAAATTGCTCTCCTTTCCGGCAACGTGTCAGTGACCTACTTTCTTGTCAAGGATGGCGTTTACGTTCTGTTACGCGTTACGCGAGTGGAGGAGAGTCAGAGGAGTCGACGATAAAACGTTGGCAAAGTCGAGAAAAAACACCATGAAAACAAAACAAGAGTTTTAATAAAATAAGAGATACAAGGGTTTTTTTCTACACTATCCTAATTCGCGGAGGGGAGAAAGAGAGGGAGTTTACAATAAAGCTTCATACTTCCTGAGAAAATATCAGGGTGATAATTCTTCGGTAAATTGGCACTCGGTTCTACGGTTGCGGAATAGGTCTGGCGGTATTCGACTTCTTCTGACGAACTTCGAGCGACTCCCTTCTTTCCCCCCTTAAAGGAAAGAAGAAGCGGCTTTTATAATTTCATGATGGGAAACTTCGTCATGTGATTAATTGTTGTGAGAGGCAAAGGTCATTTTCGCAGGTGTACAGGTCGAAAGTTATTCCCGGAATCAAAACAAAATGACGAATTTGGACTTTAATTGTAAACTTAAGTTTTAATACAGAAGAATACCATTGTTAGTTGGTCGAATTTTTACGTTAAAGAGGAGAGCTATAGGTTTTTTATTGTTTTGATAAGATACTTAATTCCTTTATTATTTTTCTGACTATGTTTTTGCCGATAAAATGATAACTTTGTTTAAAATATGTCAAAAATTTTATGAGGAAAGTGAAAAATTGGATTACACACGGATCGGATCTCACATACAGCATAAAACCTGATGACACAAGGCATTAAACAATTTGCATTCTATAGTACCTTATGTACTTTTAATGATTTCATATTTAATATTTTCAATATTTTGCGTATAAATTAGAAAAAAAAAGGAATTTATGAAGTTTTGGCACGATTTATTGTATTTTATTTTTCACTTAATTTGCATAATAATTAGGACCTCTTATACAAAAGACAGTAACGGCGATGAATCTTCGTTGTTTACTTTTAACCTGTATTTTTTATGTACGGTATAAATATAGACTATTTTAATTAAGAAATATGAACTTAGAATATTATGCTATTTTTACTCTGATGTTAATGTTTTACATTTTTAATATATTCGGAATTAGCCCATTACAAGTAAGATTTACATAATTTTTGTATATATATATATATATAATAATTTATTAATAAACAAAATAATAATAAGAAATATCACACAAGGGGTCAGTGAATATATAATTAAAGCGGTAAATGCTTTTTTTTCCCTTCAAAAGAAGATAAAAATTTAAATATTTCATAGATGTAAATGTGAATAATATGCAAATAAATGTCTAAATATTAGTGTTTAATCAATTTAAATACTGTATCGCCTTATAATAATTATACATGAATCTGTTTCTGTGTGTTATATAAAAGTGTAGAAATTAAATATATTTTTTTTTTCTTTACTTTCTTGTAAATACGTCTAATTTAATAGTACAATTACAAAGTATTTAACCAATTTACTACTAATAATTTTATTGATAATTCTTTATAAATATTAACAGGTGTTGAAAAGTGGAATTGTGATCGTGTTCATTCCCTTATTTATATTCGCAAGTTATTCTCGAATGAGGGATTATCTTGCATATTTCACTTTATGGTTTTCCCTATTTGATTTGATTTTTCTTAAAACAACCATAGAACTATTAAGATGGCTGTGGTAAGTATTGTTTACTTGTCTTTAAATATAGGGTCAATCTTTACCTATGTGCACCGTCATGGCTAAACAGTGGGGACCCACGTTCTAATTTAACCTAACTTATTCTAATAAATTACCAATTTATTAGAATAGGTTAGGTTAGGTTAGAACGTGGGTCCCCACTGTTTAGCCATGACGGTGCACATAGGTAAAGATTATCCAAATATAGTATAATTCGAACTGCATGAAATTGGCAGGCATTAAGCAAATATTTATGGGCGGAATCGGCAATACGAAAGTCAGATGGATTATTTGGATTTAATGGTTTTATACAACAGGAATCTATTGTATATAACAGCTGTAGTTGATCGCGTGTTTGCGCTTTAAGAAGGCTTAGCCACGTGTTTTCTTTACGTCTCTGAACATCTAAAGAAGGGTCCGTTTCCGATAAAGAATCCCTCCACCTAAGAAGATTGTCTACGTGTTGCGTGTCCGATTTGATCAGTGCATGCAATCCTATTCCAAAAATAAAAGAAATCTAGTAACTAGTTGCTTAACGTTCCAGGCAACATTTCAAAACTGCGTGTGGCGCCATCTGTTACGATTTATTATTAAAATAATTTGTTTTTTTTTTATTGCTAATTATTAGAAAATGGCAAAATCTAAATTTTTAGCATAGGGATGAATTTGAACCTCCGAGTTTTTTGTAAACCTCCACGTTTTGAGACCTTGTGATTCCCAGAAAGTAAAAAAACACCAGCAAAATAATTCCATGTGTTGGCATGTATTTCGCTTAATATCTCAGGATGGGGTGAAGATTAATAAACGAAATTTTGCAAGGTGGTTTCTATGTGAAAGGCATTAATATTGTTAAATTTTAGCGGTTAAAGGTCGAGTAGGTGAGGAGATAGAAGGTGTCACGTATCGCTAGAGGGGTAAGACTTAATGAAGATTTTATTCGTTATTAACACGTGTAGTGTTTTATAAAGCTCATCCCTACCCTCAGAATTAAGTTGTTTGCTATTTTATAGTAATTAAAAATAATAATAACTTTTTATTAGAAAATCTGTAACAGATGGCGCCACATACAAATTTATTTATTATGCTTAATAATGAATTTTGATTAAAATATTTTAATAAATATTTTATTTTTTTCTAGCGAAAATTTGCTATATATTCCCGACGAAAATTTCTGGCTGGATCCATTTGGAATCTTATCAACTTTTATATTTTCACTTATAAGCTACATCATGATTAGTACTGTTTTTAAAATAATCTTTTTACATTTCTTTCTGAATTACATCGAAGACATTGAAATAATTTGATGTAACAAATGATGAATTTTAAAAGTTGACATTGACGTATTACATAGTTTACGAATTTTAAATTGTGATGACGATTTTAATTTTGTATTATTGTTGTTTTTTTAATGACATTATTGAATAAACACTGCAATAAAAGTTTGTTTGTTATAACACGCTTTACGCTGCATACTATTTAATAATTATTTAAATTAAATTCCAGCATCTCCCATTGTGGTCGCTATTGGAAGGGTCCTGTTTGTTATTTATTTGTCATTGTAGCTGAATAGCGTGCTAGAAAGAATAAAAAACAGATAAAATTATACACGTGTTTATTTTACCAGATCAGTACAAGAGAGCGAACGTATACACTGTGTCTCAAAAGTATTATAATCAACATTTTACTACTTTTCAGAATTGCTAGGAAATTAAGAGAAATGAGAATGATTTCATTTGTATATTCAAATTACATTACACTGATTTTTAATAATTTTAAAATTAAATATCATTATATTAATAATTTAACAATAAAAATACTTTTGGGACAGCCAAAAATATAAAGATAATAGAATAAAATTGTAATATTTTCGTAATTTTAAGATTTTTATGTTTGAAAATAATAATAAGTAACGCCAAGTAACACTTTTTAACTTTTGATGTTCAAATTATTACTTGACAATAATCAAAACATTTCAAAATGCCACATGGAAAAGTGTTTAGTATGGAAGAAACTGCGTGAATATGGAAATTCTCCTGTCAAGGAAATTGCTGTTTTAATGAACAGATGTACTCCTGTAATTTTATAAAATTTTTGGAAAATTATCACCAATACCTTCTAAACATCGAAAAAAAGATCCAAAAATACATCTCAAGGGGATGATAATCGAATTTTGCACCTTGCATCGCGACATGATAAATTATTTCTTCAAATTCTGTTTGAAAGTGGGCCCTTCAGTGGCCAATCGGTTCCATTCTTTGAACGCAATGTTCCGCCGTTGGTTCGCGCCTGGCCAGGATGGGCTGGTTACATGAAGTTTTCCGGGTTTTCTTCACGTCTGTAACGCCTATTAAAACACCTTCCGGGAGGCACAGATCGCCCAAGTGTTGCGTTGCCATAACTTAACAAACAGCTGTTTAAAAGTGATTATCAAAAAGCACGCTCATGGAAGTTCAGCAGTTCCATATACAGTTGACCCCCTATAACGCGGTAGATTCATTCCACTTTATAAGAATTTCGCGTTGTAGAAATCCTTAAATAGATGAGCCAATCACAGCCCGGCACGTGTGCAGTTTACGGACTACGGCTGTTTGAAAGGTTTTCTTCCATAAAATTAATCGATTCTATACTAATTTGACTCAACATTTTCAAAACACGTATAATTTTTTGGGAATAATCCGTATAAACAATGCTATAAACAAAAAATTGTAAGATTACTTACCGAGTGTGCACCGTNAGTGTCAACAATGGAAATCTTACGTAACAATGGAATTGTTAAGAGAAAGCGACGTGCGATACGCAGATGCAGTTTTTTCGTTTTTGCGGGAAATCGAACATATTTTTAGACCCATCTAAAAACTCTCTAAGGGGACCCAATTCTTGCATTCTGTGAAAACGGATAAGGTTGACTGTAACGTAATAATCTTTATCTTAGTTATCGTTACTTTTGCCCGTGCAACGCCGGGCCCACCTGCTAGTTTGTTATAATTTCAAGCAAAAGCAACGAAACAAATACAGCTAGATGCGGTTTAAAAGTACTTATTTTTTACTTATTTCAGAAAGATTTTGGCTTTTATATGAATTTCGCATATACAATAAATTTTAATATAATGTAATTTATCAAGTAAAAATACAGGCACATCCGACAGAACGTCTTCTCGATAAACTACTATTTGGTTTCAATATCAAAACTTCATAGCAATACAGATTTTTTTGGTCCATAGTTTTTTGCTCTATGATTATACGGGAAAAATTTATATTTCTGTCATTACAATATTTTAACAAAACATAGAACTTTTCGGAGTTTGTCTGTTCGGATATGTCTAGGCCCCATTCCTAACCACCCGGCCGACTCATTGCGGGACTGGCCTAACCCATAATAGGCTTGCAAAAAAGAGGCCCTCTTAGCTCCTACAGGGCGGAAACAGTTTTAAAAAACATATGGTGATTACCATCAATATCGTTCACATTACGCCATTTTGTGTCTGCCAGGCAAAACTCTAATCGTTGTTGAGTTAATTTTCAATACATTTTTCTTTCACCTTTACAACTTGATATATCTCAATTGTTGCTGGTGATGAAAAAGACGTCAAGCATCGTATCCACACCTCTTATTACAAGCACAAAAGCTTTTTCGTGCCGTTATTAATTAACAATAATCAATCATATTCTAAAATTTACAGCAGAACTGTTAGAGGCAATGTTATGTGTGTTGGAATTCATTCTTGTTTTTATTTGTAAATTTGTATTTGTGTTTTTTCTGTTTGTATTTTTTTTAAATAAATTTTTGTATTGCTGCCTGTTAATTGATATGACATAGCAACACTTGGAGTATTTGTTAAGGTGAAATGCTTCTAGGATACGGACATTTTTATTGTGTTTCAGTTACGTTTTTTCAAATATTTTATGCTTTTTGGGTTCAGATACTAATGCATTGTCATTTCTGCTTAGAAATAATAGGAAATAAATTCACGTTTTCCACAGAATATCTGGGATAAACACGTTACCGACATTGCTTTAAGGGGATGCCCGTGTATAAAATCCTTAAAAATATACTTCTAAATTAATCACAAATTATTTTCATGTATAAGATTATTATGAATACAGCGTCGTTTATCCGAAAGTCGGTTATCCGAAAGAATCCCAGTCGGCCTAAAGTATAATTTTTTTTTGTTTTTATATTTTTCAATGTATTTATTTCCTTTGTAAAACATAAAGAAATCATTTTTAACTATACAATAGCCACGATTATTATTTTAAAAAGTTTACGTTAGGCTTAACATCGACGAAAATTCAACGCAAAGCGACAGGCAGCGGACAAAAATTTCAACACGGGATAGGTTACTATATTTTTTCGTACATAATCGGCTATCCGAAAAATAAGTAATCCGAACAACCTCAGTCCCCAATTGATTTGGATAAACGACGCTCGACTGTAATAAATAACTTATAAATCAATTAGTTATAAATGTATAAAGTATATTCAAATCGTGTTTTAAAAATGCCTATCGTCTTATATATATTTTCATATTACTATAAAGAAATACAGACTTTGAAAGGAATTCTTTTCGTAACCGGATAAATACCACCGATCATGAAACTCAACGACACTTTCCCAAATCTTTTCATGAAACTCAAAATCTATAAATGAAAGTAAGCAATAAAGAATTAATCAAATTATATGTAAATTTTTAAAATGATATATTAATACAGACTTTTAACTTTTCTTCTGGATGTAAATTGCTGACAGCAAATTGTCGGATATCTTGAAAGCCATTTTGCATCTGAAAAATAAAATTTAACATTAAAAATATTATTCAAACATTTACATTAACATTACTTAAGTCTTATGAAAAAAATTTATAGAAACAAATTCTTTACCGAGAAAGAAAAACTGCACAACAAACAAGCTGCAGTAATACAAGTGAAGGTGGATGAGACAACTATTACCAGAAATGCTAATCTAATTGCATCATTTACATCTATAAAGAACAATGCATAATAAGAAAAACTGGTTGCACATATAAGACCAAAATAGAGAACAAAACTAGGAAATCTAAATTTAGTATTAAGTTGATTGACGAAATTCCACAATTCTTCGTGACGAATCATCAAATTTCTCAAATTGAAATAGAAATTTCTCTCGCATCTTTTCACAAGAGAAAAATCTTGTATCAATTGTTTGAATTTCATTTCGGTAAGAACTAATAATATTGCTAGCAATAAGAGAGCATAACCCAAAGCGCCAATTCCGACAGAAGCAAAAAATCCAAATTCAACCGAACAGTACAGTGCCTCTCCCTGGAACTTTTCAGTTTTTCCTAACGCTGGGTAGATAAATGCTACATTGTAAATTTGAAAACAAAACACAGCGAAAGTAATGGCAAAAGAATAAAGCAGACTAATAATATTAATTAAGACATTTGCTATCTTTCTCTTCTCCATAAGATCCTCGTTTCTTAATGTTTTTATTAGAGTGACTTTTCTGTTTTTGAAGAAACTGAATGTAAAAGCAAAGCAGCAGTGTAAGCTCGCGAGTGTTACTTTCAGCAGAAGAGTATTGTTTTCGAATAAATCGTACCATCCAATGCAAATTGAATTTTCGTCCCAACCCGGAATAGTCTGCCACCACAAGAGAACCGCTTTATTCCAATATGTTAACTCCAAAAATCGAATATATTTATTTATATATTTTCTTTTAATTAAAGGTAAAAACTGGTTATTTCGGCAGTTGCATGGTTCGAAAGGATCCACACCATAGATCATCGCATTTACCCAGAATGGTCTTAAGAAACAATGCATACAGATTTCGTTAATTGCCAACGAATTCATCATTGATTCGCTTTACGAATTTTAAGTACAACGAGAATAAGTAAAATCTATGTCTATCCTTAACACGAGAAATTCTGTTCTACTGCGTTTATTATAGAATCTGTATTAGCGTCATTAAATTAAGTTCAATTAAATTAATGTTTGCACTCAGGAAATTCCTCACTTTAATAAGTAAGGAATTTCTTGAGAACAATTTAATTACGTCCATTATTTTACCGAAAGTTTAAAATAACGTCATAAATAACGATGATCGATTAAAGATAATCGATAGACTCGATAGAAATATATATAATTCGTCTTATAATTCATATTAACTATATTTATCAGAGATGAATTATTATTTTATTATAAATATATTGCACGCGATACAGATTTAAATATATGTAGTGCATTTATAAATATTTTTAATATTATAAATATGCTTTACTAATGGAAGAAAGAATGCTAATTATGCAAAATATGAAATGTAAAATTTCATAAAAGATTATTCTGTGCATTATCCATATTTAAATTTTCAAAATCATTAAAAGATGAATATTTATATTCATTACTTATCATTAATTTGTATAAGTTTTGTATAAGAATGGTAATAAATATTTAATTATTCATTCTAATAAATGAAATTCAAGAAAATTCTTTATATATACTGTAATAAGTATGTGCTTTGTATATATAACCGATATGAACTTCTATATACCCACGCGTGGGTATACATATACATTTTCTTTTTATAAATTT